CAGCGGGTGTCATGAAGAATGGAATGTAAACAAGTGAGAAGTGGATAAGTGGGTAAAGAGTAGATAGATGGGCCAGGACAGAAAGAGTAGTGAACGTTTGTCTCTTTGACGAGTTCGCAGGTTAGTGCGGAGAGTGGCAAAACTGACTGATGATACCGACTACGATACCGGCGAAATGTCTGAGAATGTACCAAGTGCACTGTCTGATGCTGGGAGTCATAGCAACTACTATAGCAGACGACTTTGGACTAGGTGAGTTTTTCATAGTCGCCATGGAAACAAGACCAAGTTGCGACAACGAGGTCAACCCACTTCACCAAACCTGTTTAGTGGCTTGTATTCGAGAGAGGTTTTCGAGCAACAGAACAAGACCATCAAGGCGTGTTGACGACAGACAACGAACAATTATCTTCCTCTCGTTTGTTATTTAAAGTCGAGACGTCAGCTGATGAATTGTGTTTCCGGAGGAAGGCGATCTCTCAGGCAGGAAACAAAGTCGAACGGTGCATGTTTGGAAAAACTCTCGCCAGCATCGCCGAGATACCGAAGTTTGGACAAAAGGTGGGCCGCAATGCGTAGCACCGAAGTCGACAAGCTGACAAAATGACATGTTTTTGAGCCGCGGTGTCACGATTTCTGGTGAGCTGATGAATTGCTCACCGAGCTTGTCTCTCGGCCTGAGCTAGCCTTCGCCACGAGAAGATCCGGCGACTTGTCCAAACGAACTCGACGATTTAAACAAACCGCAAATCTCGCTATTTTTCCTGAATCAAGCCAAAGGGTTGCTTGACTTTTGTGGCTCCCAGTGACTGTCGACTCGGTTGAGTCCAGGTCACATGAGGTGATTTAAGTACTGGTAGTTGAGTTTGTTCTACAATCACACACGTAAGCCTCTTGATGCCGATCAACTTCCCAAATAACCGGGACTGCAACTTCTTCCCTCATCACCACCCCCAGCAGGATTTGATACCGGAGGCCAGCTGCTATTACGCAGTCATCTGTTGATGATACTACTTAGTTTAAGCATGAGAAGTATGCAGGAGTATTAATAATTCCTGAATAAGAATTATTAAAACTGCTCATACATTCGTAAGTGAGTAGGGTTTCGAGACTACCAGTAAATCAGTGTAATGAGATGTATTCACCCTATTTC